TGCTGAGAAAAAAAAAGCAATTGCAAGTTCAATGCCATGCAACTGTTAAGTTTTAAATAAAGAAAAAACGCAGGCGTAGGCAAGTCTTGCAAGGAAAACCGGCGTTGCTCAAAAGCCATGTGCAGTACAAATACATACAAATATTTAATAGAGTGACTAAAATAACAACAATAACCGTAACAGCAACTACAAAACTGCACCAACTGTTACTTGTAACTAAAAGCGGTTGTGACAACCAATAAACGCAACTGGTAGTAATAAATCGGTCGCTTTTTATGTATATCCCAACAAAGCGAATGTGGAAGTGCCTGCCGCCGCATGTGGCAGCAACAGCAAGTAGCATGGCAACAAATTATAGTTGTTGGCTGCATTTGTCAACCACATTTGGACACTTCTAATTTTCCGTTTCAGTTAATTCAACGAAATACAGTTTTTATTGCCGAGCTTCGTATTTATTTCAGTTATTTCTTGCTATTTCTCGCTGCAACAATGAAATGAGTCTGTTGGCTGGCTGGCTGGCTGCCTGACTGACTGACTAGTCGTGCAGCACGTGAATATTATATTCAATTACCATAGCAACAATGAAGCTGTTTCTGGTTTTAGTATAAAAATAAATGCATAAAAAAAATACTTAATAATAATAATTTTTAAAACCATATCGCTTACAATGCAAACATACACATACGCGTGTATGTAGTTGAGATCGGTTACACTTGTATTGCCCACAAATAATATGTATGTAGCTCTGTGCAACTTTTGACAGCCGCAACAGCGCTGGCAGCTTGTCAGCCGCTGCAGCTGATATATTTATTACTTTAATCAGTTGTTGTGGCACTATGGAAAACAGTTTGAAATAATGATAGGGTAATTTTAATTACTAAATTATTAAACTAGTATTGCCAAGTTTTTGAAAATATTTTCGGAAATACTGGAAAAAAATAATGCAGTTCAGTTTTATTAAATACAAATAAATATACAATCTGATTAAATTATAAGTAGCTAAAGCCTTAAAATTCGACCGGCCTACATATCGGAGGCGCTCTACTTCACTATTCTATTTAGAATTGGCAGAACTTACAGCGCGCAGTAGTTAAAAACCTGACATTTGCTCTTCATAATTCGCTGGAATCTTCACTTTGCACTCCAATTTCATTATTTTTCTCTTAATGAAAGCTTATAAATTTGCAAGAAACTACTAGAGTCCGATGTTTGGATTTTCATTTACTGGTAATAAATTTTTTAGTACAAACTGCAGAAAAGTAGAAATTTTGAAGAAAATCGATAAACCTATTTCAATTAATAGTAAGAACTAGTTGAAAACAGTTCTAGGGTTCCCCCAAAACGAAAGACAAATCTAAAAAAAATATTTAAAATGTTTATAAAAAAAAGCCACCAAAATTAAATTTTTTTATAGTTCTTAGAAAAATTTTGGATATGCAATGAAGTGCAAACTTTAAGTGTATGCGTTAATTATTAATATTTTTTTTCGCTAACATTTCGAGCAAATCTGCTTGCTAAATGGTAATTAAAAGCATTTGTTATATTAATAAAAATCAACGTGAACTCTTGGCCACTTGCAACTTGCTCTTTCCAATACTTAAATTTCGTAAGCTATAAAACTGCATACACAAATTTTTCTAAGAACTAAAAAAAATATTTTAATTTTTATGAATTTTTTACCATTCAAATTGTTTTTAAAATTTTTTTGAGTTTGGGGGAACTCTACAATTGTTTCTAACTAGTTTTCATTATGTAACATTTACTAACTGGAACAGGAGAATCGATTTTCTGAAGAATTGCAACTTTTTGTACTAAAAAATTTAATATAAACATATAAAAATTCAAAAACCGGACCCAACTGGTCTCTTGCCAATTTTATAAACTTTGATAAAAAAAAATATCAAATTGGTTGAAAAATTAAGGCTCCATGGAATTATGAGCATTAAATTCCAGTTTTGAACCACTGTGCAGCGGCCTTTTAGAGCTCGATGATAGTCTTGAAGTCTGCTCGCATCATTTTTTCCAGAATTGCACGATAGGGAATTACCTTGACCTGGCTTCGAACGGCAGCAAGGTCTTGCAGGAATTTAAAATTCAGTTTTAGAAGAATATAACACTAGCTTAGAATAAAAAAAACAACTTTTTATAACCATTTTCTTCAATTATTTCGCAAAACCTTGAATACAAAATTTGGCCTATTTAAAGCAAAGCAAAACTCCATACGCATCAGAGGAATTCGATCTTTATTAAAGATTTCGACCTATTTTGTCCTTATCACATTTTCGGAGCTTTTTTTTGGACTTATCAAATTTTCCTTTCTAGCCTCCTGTAGCAAAATATGAGTTTTCGTAAAAAGTGAAGTTGGCAACCTTTTACTCTAAGCTAGCGATAATCAACTCATATTGATGATATCTCAAGAGACTCTAAAATCGAAGTGTGTCGACTCAGGTACTATTTTACACTATTTTACACCGAGGTTTACACCGATATAGATTTGACGTGTTATATGCATGGACGACGAAGTTCGGGTAAAAAAAAAACCATTCGTGGGCAACGAATGCAGGGCCGTTGACGAACACAATGAACGGTCAAATGCAGAAGGGCCGCAAAGCAATCAGGCAACTGGGGAAGCTTTTTAGTCTCGTCCCAAACCGAAAAATGGACAAATATTAATAAGAAGCAGAAGAAGTATGCAAAGCAACTGAAATCTTTTTTAAGGCCCACAAAAGCCATTACTCAAATAGCACACTGGTGTATAAATTGGTGTAAATTTACGATTTACAAAAATTCACATATCTAAACCAAGTTTGCACCAGTGCGCTACTTGAGTATATGGGGAACTTAACTTCAATTAAATGTCTGCCACGTTTCTAATGGTGGCACGCAACGGAGTGGACCAATTTTCAATCAGTCTCATCACTATCTTATCTTCAAACACCCTAAAACTTCAGCAACCAAATACTAATAGCTTCTTCAATGAAAAGTTAACGTTAAAGACCACTTTAGTATGAATTTTGTTTCTAAAAGATTTTCAAATTTGTGTAAATATTGTTGACGTAATAAGTCAAAACATTATTAAAGTTTAACAGATCCTATGGCGGACATATCAAAATCTGATGCGGTTGCAGTGCAAGAGAAAACTTTGATGAGATGCAAAAGTAAAAATAAAATGAATTAAATTGTGATTAATTTATTACTTCATGTTAATGGATCAACCTTTCTCCACGCATGTACTTGCACAGAAACATGGAAACAAACTCAAAAAATAAATGACCACATCACATAAGCACCATAAAACCGAAAGCTAATTACCGCTTGGGTTCCAGCCATCGCCATCGCTTCTTCGCTACTGGCGAAAAAAGTAAAAACAAGCCAACAATGACAAATTGCTAAAGAGAATGGTAATAAAATAGTAAATGTTAATTATGCTGGAAATTACATACACAACGGCGATAGCAAAGCTGAAGTAAGCGAGGAAGTAAAGAAACGCAAAATATATAAAAACAATAGCGTAATCTTGAGTTATTTTATTTTGGGAAAAAGAAGATATCAATGCAAGGCGAGAATGAGGCAAGGCCAAATGAGCAAGAAACATTACTGTACCATACGAATTTCAAAGGCCTCTGATTTACTAAAAAAAAAAACTTAAGAAACGAACTCGACGTATATAATTCAGCTATGTACCTCGTAATATGCATTTAAAATCGGCACCAAGCTCAAAATCGCTACGCTTCGATATTGTTTTAACAACGCGTGCAACTTATTTATAACTGCGAGAAGCCAGCTTTTTCCCCCAGCACAGCTGTTGTGTGAAAATAAGTAAACAAAAGACTTAAGGCACAAACTTGAGTTCACAAAAATATTACAGATTGCCAAAATATCTCAAACAAAACATCGTTCGAAATTTTTAAATGCTCACCAGCAACATTTCGTTTATTTGACTCAAATTTCGGCAGCTTTTGAGAACATTTATTTACCGATTACACTCAGAGAGCGATCGTTTGAGTTTAGTTGGCAAATGAGCGAAAGAAATGCGGCGAAAGAAATTGCAGAGCGACTTTTGCCTAAGCCATGTGTTTTCTTAACTTGGCTTAGCTGATTTCTTTACTATATTTTCACAGCGCTTTGACTCATTTCTTCGGTGCTGCAGAGTAAATTCCGCATGCTTTTGTGGCAAGCCAGCTGGCTGCTACATGCTCGTCGCTGGTGTTTGCCTGACTTTAGTTCTGACTTGAATTTTCCGCTGAACGGTTGTTGTGGCAAGCGTGGTAATGTGGTGGTGGCGACTAGCGTACTTAAGTGCTTTTTAAAAGGCAAATGAAATGCAAATTATATGAAATAACAGAAAGTGTTTGGATTTGAAATGAAACAAACGAAAATTACAAAATTAAAAAAATAATAATTTACTAAATTAAATAGCAACAAATATAGTGTTGGAAAAAATATAAAGTGATAGCCAAAAGAGCAAGGATTTGGCTTTAACACTTTGAAATTAAGCTAGCGGCATTAAAAACCAAAAAAGCTAAAAATGAATTTATTGAAAAACCTAAAAAATTAAAGCATAGACGAGTATAAAGTGTAACCGAATTCTGCATCCAATTGTATCAAAATACCGAAAAGAAAGTTTCAGTGTAATTACATAGTGTTTTTGTGCCTCCACTGTTGCCACTACGCATTCGCATGCCATCTTCGTAGTCATTGCCACCACTTTTGCTTTCGGTGCGCAAAACTTTAACATCGCGCGCGCGCGTGTGTGTGTGTGTGTGTGTGTATGTATGTAAGCGCATTTTGTTTATTTGCTTTGCTGCTCGAGTAACGACACAGAAAGTGAAAGTCCTCGCCACGCAGGAATTTGCAACGCTTATGAGTCTGCAACGTCTTAAAGCGTAGTGCCTTTAAATTTTATTGAAAGAAAAAGTGCTTCTTTTCAACAAATTTTCCTCAGTGAAGTGTTTTGTTTAACTATAGTATAACAAAAAAAAAATAAAAATATAACAAAAATGTCAAAGTTCACTCGCCGAAGACGCTATGCCAATAAGGATACTTGGCTGCGGGTGCTACACGTTGTGCTTTGCCTTACCTTGCACATCTGCAACATAAATACTCTGGCACATCCCAGTCCAGCACAGGAACATGATATGCTGATATTGGATGCGCTGTCGAGACGCAGCAGCGGCGGTGGTGGCTACTACAGCGAGGATTCAGTCATGGATATGCTGGCGAGAAGTAGTTTAAAGCAATGAATATTTATTTTAATTTATTTCTTTCAATTCAACTCTATAGTAGAAAAACGTTTTTCGAAAACGAATGAACAAATTTTGGTTCGCGTTTTAGGCTTTGTCTTCTGAGGCCACAAAGTTTATAGTCAAATTATCTTCCCCATAATTTGGAAGAGTTTAGTTAGTAGAGGACAATACATATTTTTTTTGTTTTTGTTTTTTTTTTTAAGCATTTCTTTTGCTGGCAGGAAGATTATTCTCGAGTTCCCTTACAAGACCCCGATGTCCGTATGTTGACGATTAAAGTCTGAGATACCAGCGCACTTGATAGTTCCAATACATATTTAATATCCAAGAGTAATAATTCTTATCGCATCAAATTTTAAGGGACTCTGGCAAGAAAATATGGTATACAATGAAGAAAGCTAGCATTCTCCCTCCTATGCTACATATAGAGTATTTTATTTCATAAAATTGCATTTTGGAAAATTTTCTTCTTCATATAATTAACTTTCTGGAAAGTGGTATGGCTTGAACTTATATCGCAACCTTATTAATTTAAAAAAGTGCTATACGAATAAATTTCGCTTAGAAAATATGTATTTGTGCTTCATAATAAAATAGGGCCAAACAAGTGCACCGTAAGCAATTTGACCCAATTATATGGCGGAAATTAATTTTTTGTGCTTCCTAAGATTAAATTTTTGTCCTTGGTAATTGGTAAAGAAAACTTCAAATCAAATATCGGTGCATTTTGCTTATGTAAAAAAATAACGACAACTGCTTAACAGGTGAAAAAACATTGTCTGTGCCAAGTGTTGAACGGTAGATACGCAGGCAATTTTTTCGAGTTTTAAAGTTGTTTTAAATAAGTAGCATAACAAACATTTGTCTAAAAAAAATTTGAAAAAGAAAAGTTGTTTTTAATTTTTTCTTTCTTAAAAATTTAATTTAAATAAGCTATTGAGATCCATTTACCATTTCGAGGGCAGAATTCAATAAAGAGAGAAAGCAGATTTGCAGTTCAGTTACTCCAAAGCTTGGTCCTTTTAACTTTTCAGCAGAAAAAGTAGACAATTTTGACATTTAGGATTTGCACTTGAAATTACTAACCATTGTGTGCATTGGTTTTTATAACTAACTGGCATTTTCTCTTCCTTTTTCGCATACTTAAAAATCTGAAGATTTTAAACTTTTTTTAATAAAACCACCAATTAAAAAATGGCCCTTTTAGGCACCACTGTGGTCATGGGTTAAGATTTTTTTTTTTTTTAATATTAAAATTGTAATTCTTAAATCATATTTTTACTAGCTTTTTAGTGTTTTTTCAAAACATTGGGATAATTTCCCATAATATTAACCTTTTGTAATATTTATTGCTATTTGTGTAAATCGAAATGAAAGCGTAAGGCGTAATGGGCACAATAGGCCTAAGGTCGTAGTACATAGCCTCTAACAAGCTAAGCAATACGTACTTATATTGTAAATCGTGTTTTATTATGCATAAATGTAGATTTACAAGTCGGTTGTTTTTTGAACAGAAACAAATAAAATAAAATGGGAAAAAGTTATTTGTTTCGCAGTATAGTCTCCCCTTAACTCAACAGAATTAGTCCAGCTTTTGTTTTCCCTATAAGTAAAAGGTGGTACATATGAGAGTCGTCAAAATTGGCGTTTGCCTTAGTGATAACCTCTTTATATTACCCAAATGCCTTACCACCGAACCTCTCTTGCATACTTTGTAATAGTTTTTACTTTACATAAATATTAAATCTGTCTAACAGCTAAGAATAATATTTTTCAGCGATTTTTTTTTTACGCTTATAAAAGGAATCGATGTGAATGCCACCGCTTGCCTACCAAGAAACGGCGACCAGGACCCTGTTGGTAAACATATCCGCCTTCTCCTACTTTGATGCACGTTAGCGCCTATGTTTCGTTCACAGTTACAAACCGTGCATACATATTAATGTAGAATATCATTTCGTTAATTTTATAGGCCATTTATTGCGATAGGACTACTTTTTTTGTCGACTTGTATTGGTACGGCCACAACGGCCTTCGGACAAGCACTTTTCAATTTCTTAAACTGCTGGGCTTGGGTCTGCTTAGTATTTGTACGTCTTTTGATTGGGTTGGGTTATTTTTTCTTTTCAGCAAAAAATGATCCTTGATGACCCAAAAAAAAATTGTTTTGGTTTTAGTCAAAATATACACTGCCGGAAATAAAGTGCAAGTTTTAAGTAGCTAGGAACTACCGTTGATTTTTGGCAACTTTTTTTCACGCAGTCTCTTCCATACAAACATTTTTTCGAGAATACTTTATATGGAAAAAATGCAAAACACCTTCAACAAAAAAAATCTCAAAAATCAACGCGATTTTTGACTAACTCCGAACTAGCATTTTTTTACTAGAATTTAATGGGCTGCAAAACTGCATACTTAAAAAAATTCTAAAAAAATCTGATTAAAATGTTGAAAATTTTGATGAAAATTGGCTGAATTTTCGCGAGTTTTGCACATAGTTTAGGAGTTTTATTTTTATTGGCGGAAAAATATTAGAATAAGTATTGTTGCATATATTGTGAAAAATTTGCTGTGTCAATACTTTGTTCCGGCAGTGTATGAAAACTTGGAATTTCTCCAAATCAGTAAGTAAGTGACAGCATGTTAAATTTTTTATATCCAGGGCTTATATTCTAAACTACTTTGTAATGTTAGAACCAATCTGGGACTTACCTGGCATCACTCATGTTAATTCTGACTTTTCAATTCAATAGTAAATTCTTCTGTCAAGCACTACACAAGGTCAGCATTAATACCACCGATGACAGTTAAGTGTTAGGTGGATTCTTATATCAGAATCTCATATTCGTGAAAAGTGCAATTATGGGGTATTGAATAAAAGTCCTTGATTTCCTGAAGCTTTTTAATAGGATGCCCTTGAATTAGCCTCTGGAAGTAAGCTCAAAAATCTTGGCTTGTGTCTGCCAGATCAGCATTTGAAAGAGGATCCCGACTTTAAGGAACCAAAACAATGGCTTTCATTGTTGCTTAAATTCATAACTGATGTATCTAAAACTGCATTATGAACTCTTCTTATTAATACTTTCCAACATATAAAATAAAATTAAAATCAGTGCGACGTCCATGGAAGCCACTGAAATTACTGACATATTTTTTTCTTCATTATCTGTTTGATTGCTAACTCAAAAGATTTTATAAAATTTAGAATTATAAATGATTTTAAATTTTTTTTAAGTTTTGTGCTAAAGATAAGACTTACAAAAGAACATTTTCACAGTCGAAAAATCGTTAAATAAACAGAACGATAAGGGATGGTACATACATAGGTGTGCCAGCTCGACATTCATCCAAGCTCATTCCGTGGCTACAAGATGGTCATTAGCCAGCTACCACTTATTTATGATGGTTCCGGCAAAACTCCGCTCCAGCTAATAGGTCAAAATCGACACAAAATAAGATCCCAAAGTACAGTTTTTCGGTCTGTTGGCAATCTATTAGCCCAGATCTGAAGCCATTGAACTATAGCTATAGGAGGTCGGGGCTTTCACTATTTGGCAAGCAAGTGTTGAGCCCTTTAAGCGCGTCCTTTTTCGAGCACTGAGACGCACCTATACTGCGATCGATTAGTGACCAAACCGACCTTACCGCTGCTAGAATGCAAGTGGAGGTCATTTCAGTGATCTACAATATCTAGGCATTGTGTTATATTTACAAAAAAATAAAAAAAGAAAACTACAAATATTGACTCCTTTTTTTATTTTATTAGACAAATACTTTGTTCCAAAACATTTTGCTGTACCAATTAGATCAAATATCAGAACAAGCAGGAAAACATAACTTCCACCTTAACTACTTTTGATTATTGGTGTTAATAAGTAGCGATTGTTGAATAAACTTCTCTTTATGAAAAAACATTAAATTTTCATTTTTTTTCTTTTGAAATTGTTATTGCTTTTAAAAGCTATGTGTGCTTTTGATTTTCATCTTTTTTTACGAAAGATGTTACTAAAAGTTTATTGTTATCTATAAAACTGCTGTGATGCAAGTGCGGTTACAATGCGAACAATAAAAAAAAACTATTTGGTTATTAACGATTGCTATTAATTCTCATTTTATTACTGATTATTTTTCTACAACGCTATAGCGAGATCGTTCACCTCCTAAATCCTTGTCAATGAAGTTATTAACTTCTCTTAAAAAATCAGTAGATTTGATTAAAGAATCCTCCGTTTACATCATTATTAATCTGCCAAAAAAATTCAAGTGCATATCAATATTTATACTGTCGCAAATATCTTCAAATGAAAATATAAAACTGATTTGAACTGTTGTTGTAAATGACGCATATCTACTCGCACATTGATATATATTAAAAACTACCAAACCAAGCTCTTTTCTTTTTCACTAAAATCATTTTTCGCATGCTTTGCTACTTTTTCATAATTTCTTCACCTCAACTTTACTACGCATCCATACAGTACAACTTTACAATTATTATTACTTAGCTTTATACGAGTGATTTAATTTCTATTGGCTAATTTATTTTCTTTTTCTTCTTTTTCTCTTCTTTTCCCACGCTTTTTTTTTGTTTTTGTTTTTCCTTTTCAGTGATTCCGCAGAGTTGTCGTTTTCGTGGACACAAATTCGAGTGTGGTCTCTCCATTTCATGCGTGCTGGGCGGCGGTAAGCCGGTTGATCTCTG